GAAAAACTCACGTATTCCTCCTCACGCCTGTCATACCCCGTAATGCAGCCAGCTGAGCTTCATACTTTTCACGAGTTACCCAGTAGCCGATGTAACCACTGAGAAACCCAGCAGCGATAGCCAACAAAATGATCAAAACCACGGTAGAGAATGGGCAATCCTTCCGTGTCTGAAAATGATGTTTTCAGAAATAATTTGCCGAGAAAAAGTACTCTTTCATTACCCAGTGATTTGCATGAATCTCACCACCTACTTCGGAGTTTGAGAAGCTCATTTTATTCGAAGTTCGCCAGGTACCTCAAGTCACCCAGCATTGCAAGGAGTTGGTCCCTCTACAGTCTTACTTTCAACCGTTACTGTGCAGAATTGCTCAATGACTTGATATTTGCTTAAACTTTCAGTGAGTATCATCCGAATAGTTCTCACTGCTCACAGAAGATCTTTGGTTTTTCTTCAATGCAAACTCCCCCTTTGCCGATGAGGCGCCGAAGAAGAACTTCGCAATCGCTCTGTTGACGTCGAGAAATGCCGCAATCCCTAAACGTCACCGCTTCCCCAATGACTTCAATAACTGACCCAAATAAAATATGATCATTCAAATTAGTAGCCCCTCGCAACTTTAACTTCGAAACTTCTAGTTGTAGAGTAACTTCGGTAATATTGATCGATCACTATCGATTCATTAGCTACAGCAATTGATTTTACCGAAAGCCCTTGTGGTTGCCTACATCCTCAGCAGTTGGTTAAATGAGAAACTGTATGTTCAACTTATTTCTGGCCCTACGCCAATCCCCACACCTACACCTATTCGCACAGGGAATCCACTTCTCTGCAGCAGTATCAAAAAACTGCGATAAAAAAAGAGACCAGACCAACGAACACTTTTTTAGAGAGAGCATTCCAATTGATTCGAGACAAAAAACCGTTTACCCAACTGATTTGTCTTTCAGATCTGTTTCGTACACAGATTTTTCATAAAGGAAAAATACGTCAATTAAATAGAAAAGGATCATTTGATTACCTTTTTCGTCTTTATTTTCTTAGGCGTTTCTTTGTTTGGTATCGGTGTTGCTGGTGTCGTTAACGGTTGGCTGGAATCTGGAGGCGTTTTGACTACTTCGTCTATTTTTTGTGGCTGAAATAGTACTCGGTTATTAGAAAAATGATTGCGACTTCACCGTCAATCTTATTCCTCACCCCATATATGAGATCAATTAATACTCGGCGATCACCGAGATCGATGTCTTCCATCACCATGGTACTTTACACCAATTTTGTGGCAGTCACCTTGAAGCTAGCGATATTATAGTAGAATCAGCCGAGTTGGATCAATAACCCACGACAGTACCACAACATTTACCGAAAACTCTTAGATGAGCAATCAAGTCAAAAGTAGTGAAGGAAAAAATGGGTACAGAACCCAAAATGGGTGGAGCATGCGCCAGTGGAGGAGGGGCTAAGCTCAAGAATGGACTATTCTGTTGGATATTGTTTCCAGAAGAGTCTTCAAATGAAGCTAGGGCAACATAAGTGAAAAGTGATTTCTTAAAGAAATACAACAGATACTCCCAGAGCGAATGCTATGGAGCTTAAACGGAAATTAGCAAAGAGCGAGGATGAGATAGAATCGTGCACTGCTACATAAGCTCTGGGCATACGATTTTGTCGATAGAATCCAGAATCCTGCGTAGTGGACAGTACTGCAAAAAATTTGTCTGCTGTACCATATCGGCTTGGTACAACACAGTAGTTCATAAATAAGATTTTCTTTGGCAGTACTCAAGTCGTCTATTTTCCTCAAATGGTACCATATTTGGACAAGATGATAAAAAACTGGATCACATTATTGTTTTAGGGAGTATTCGTCAAAGTTCGAAACCACCAAATGCTTCTGTTACTCCATATGGTAATAAAATGCATGGCGCAAGCCAACCAATAGTCAGGTAGCTACTGTAGAATGCCTAATTTCCTAATGCAGAAAGGAAAAACTGAAAATTATAGCCAAAACAATTGGAGGTCATGTCAAATGTCACTGAGGCATAAAAATATCAAGAGATGGAGTATAAAGAAATGAATCGCAACAATTGAATTTAAAATCCAGAAATGGGCGAGGGATTTTATGCTTACGCATACTTGGTAAAATGAGGCTAGGTTAGGTGATGTGATAAAACGAATGATACTGGTTGAGAAATCAAAGATGAGAGATTGATCTCGCCTTGATTTTTCTACGAGTCGGCCTTTGTCGTACGGTTGGCTAGCTGACGGAACGAGCGCATTTCACACACATACACAGAGGTGGGAGCGCCACCGACAGAATTGTCAAGACATCACCTAACCTGATTACTACTACGATCTTTATGATTCAGTACAGTAAGGAAGTATTAATTCGGCGAGTTCCACTCGGTTCAGATAAGCCAAAAATCAAAGGCAATTTCGTTATCGGCTTACTTGGGTCTTTTCAAACTCGAGGTTTGGGATACACCATAATCCCATCAAATGCAATCCAATAAGAGACAACAACCGGTTTTTAGCACGCAGCACTACTCCTGGATAACTTAAAATAACATTATTAATGGCTACTGTTAGTACTGCAATGATATCACCTTTTATAGTAATTTTCTGTCAATATTTCTCAATGACGTATTTCAGTCCAATTGAAAGTTTCTATTAATAGAAGTAGGCCACGGGATGGGATCGTAACTAACAAGATGAACAGTAAATTTCTACGGAACGCCACTCATGTGATCTATTGCAGTGGCTCAGAAATCAAGGTTATCGAACAGGGCCAACTTTCATCAAGAGTTGAACTGCGGAGGGTTTTCACCGCCTGGAATTTCAAGTGCTGGGAAAATCGCTAATGAAGAGTCCGATTGGAATCTGAAGTTATGCATAAGGTAAAGCCAAAATCAGGTGACGGGTAATACAAGGAAGAAGGTGATTTTCAGTGGAGTTCTCTCCATTTTCCTCACTCCATATGCCTTTTCTGTGACAGAGTTATGTTTTTTTCTTACTCCTGTCAACCAGTTTTCAGGGTTACCAAGCGTTACATCGATAATTGTCAACTATGTCACTGATTATGATATCGCCCTCAACCGTATCGGCGTCATCTGTCATGAACATGCCCTTCAACGATGGCCAATCACTATCAAGCATTGATCGATTGATTGTTGGATGAGCCACGCATATGACTTTTATAAGAAATCAGAAGCATACATTGATTGGACTGACCAATGACAACATGGTGAATGGGGTGCTCTTCTTCAAATGAACCAGTACAGTTACTCTTACTCATTCGCTACGAGGAGAAAGTAATCACAAGTTTTATCTTAGGTGAATCCCGTGGTCGACTTATAAGCCAGTAGCCGTAGCTTTGACAAACGATGTTACACCTCCTCGATACCTAGTCAGACCTACTGACCTACCATACCTAGTACAAAAATGAAACATTTCGCTGGTTCTCCCGAACCTACGTCGACAAGAAATAGGGAAGGATCCCAGAAAGAACCATGCAACTAGCACGAAACTTATGCAAAAAAGTTACGATTTATTCAGGTCGAACAGTTAGACAAGGCACTGAGAATGAGACATTTAAAAGTGTATTACAATATTTATTATCCCCTTGTTTTGGCGGTAATGTTGTGTGGTGGTTGACCTTTGATAGTGATGTCTACGAAATTTCTGCAATTCTTCAATTTCTTTCTCAATTTTACCCATCATTTTTACATTAAAGTCGAGTCGTAACAACCTTCTCAAGTACCATGCTGATTATGTCTCAACTCTTGAATGCCTCCCTTAACTACTGTAACCAAAGGTAACCATCAATGTCTCGCAACTTACTAATAGGATAGGTAGGGCATGGGAAATTCGTACCTTCAATTCGAGTTTTCTCTCAAACCCATCAAAGATTTGAGCTATGAAAAAGCGTTTGACAAGTTGCTTCTGCCCACTTGTTTAGCTGCCGCTCAGACCGGGAAACCAAACTTTACTGGTTATCTGAACAAAATTTAAAAAAAAAAACTCTGTGACCTTCGGGATCATCACTGGGTAAAACTATCGGCTTAAAACTCTGTGACCTTCGGGATCATCACTGGGTAAAACTATCGGCTTAAACAGCGTCTCCACATATTCTCAAAAAAGGCTAGTTTCGATCGACTCATTTGTTTTCCGATCAGTTCAACAATCCCTTGGGTTTGCTAGGTCTATCGGTATGAAAACTTTATTAATCCTAGGTCATAAGTTTTTTTTTACAACAATTTCGAGAACTGACACTTTGACCCGTCCTTGTAAAGTGCAAATATGACAGCCTTTGTGGCTAGTCCTCAGAAAATAGAACAATACTACGTATGCTGGAGAATACTCACTTACACTTTGTTATTAATCCTTTTTGACAGAATCCTCTTTGAAAGAACACTACTGTTAGCGACACTCATTCATCATGAAGAGAGAACGTTCATTTGTAGAAACATAAGCTTTGGCGGTACTTTCTCAAGTTCTGAAGAATTTCCCAACTTCCCAATCAAAGCTATCAAAATATTGCCACGATACATTGCCGATGAATCCTGCTGATGAGTAAGAGTTTGGTTGGTTTTCTAGTAACCGGTTTATATTGCGATCGGGCGGTGTAGTACGAGACAGTGCCCATTCAGTCAATGCCAATGAAATTCCGGCATTTCTATGTTGTATAACGTCATTTAACAGCATCGAGTTAGGGTGCGCTTTTACGGCGTTCCATGATATTTCAATACCGAAGTGGCTTTTCAGTGTTACAATGGTGTCGTGACCCGTGAATTGATCGGTGCCAGCTCGTCTACCCAAGACTATTCGAAGAATGGTTTTCGCAGGAACAATCTGGTACAGAACAGATAAGCGCTCAGGTTTAAGAGAAGAAACATGGACTTATAGGGACAGACAGTTATTTGGCCTAAGTTGAAATTGGTAAAGGGCATGGGAAAGCATGAGACCAAGTAAGGCAGTTGTTGAGGGATGAATATGGCAAAAAAATAGTCCTACCATTGAGGAAGGATAGCTGGGGTAGTCCGAGTAGAGCAGATCTATGTACCTGTGGAAGTTTGTTATCCAAAAATCGTGGTGAAAAGAGAGGTACAAAAGGTAAGATCATAAAAATTCTTCCTAGCAGATGAAGGGAAGAAATTTCAAACGTCATTAGCGAAGAAGCCGTAAGGGGGTTCCAAGGGTTCCCTATCAAAGACACCAACAAGGAAGTGAGTAAGAGACGGAAAAAGAAAATTGGATTACGGAAGTCAGCTGTTTGGAAAATAGTGTCGAGAAGTCGGGGACATTGTGAGTTGCCTCGTAAGGCGGCGTTCATAGATCGTGACTCGCAACCTCTTAGTATGAAGCCCCCTAAGTGTTCCGATATGTCGCTCACTGAATGGCGCACATGTATGGCCCTACCACTTTCATTTCCTCTCCTCCTTGTTTTCATTTGAATGTTGATGTTGGCCTGATTGCCACATATTGCTGTGATAGTTTTTGAAATCGCAAGTGTACCATGAACTTTACTTGTTCTGTGACTTTCCAATTGAGTCCTTTCCTTTTCTGGATCGACCAGGCGTTTGTTGAAACTAAGCCGGGTCAGTGACATGAAAGTTGTAGTTCTGCCCATAGGCTGTAGGAATTCTTTTTAATTCTTTAAAATTCTTCAACACTTAGGAGGGTCTAGCCGTGAAATATAAGACAAATGGCATGCGAAAACAGCAATCGGCACTTATAGCACCATTTTGACATGGTTGATTGCCCTTTCTCGTCTTCGTGACGGAAGGCATTGCGAGATGCCTACAATGAGCAAGTGTTCGGAAAAATGACGAGTTTTCAATGACATTGAACAATCCTAATTCCGATTCAACAATCATTCAAAAACAATGCAGTTTCTACAATGGCTTTCGAGCGGTTTCTACTCGGAAATATGAAATCCAGGGTTGGATAGAACAAGGATCAATTAAGACTTCATTCCCGGACCGATAACATAGTAATGCGCCAGCTTACCCCACCTGTGTATGAGTGACGGCCTTAGAGACTAGTATTTCTCTATTCGATGGAATACTTCGAGCAAACGCTACTGAGGGTGAATGTTACTTCATTATAAACTAACCGTAGGCTGATTAGGCTAGAATACTTGATGTCCACCACCTATAAAAGGCAGTTATGAATGAGGATGAGCTAAAGATTCACAATTACACAGCCGGAGAGCGGTATGAGGAACTACCAGATCGGTATATCATGTCGCTGACAAGCTCCGACAAGCATAAGTTTACTGTCACGGCTTCAACCAGTCAGTGTTGCTTCAACTGGGTGTGAGGATGGTGTTTTATGGAAATGGGATTGACAGTGAGCAATAGGCGGGGGTGGCCACGAAGGGATGATGCTAGGCTACAGTGTACCCGGAAAGCTCGACTTGAGAAAGGAATTCGACTTGTACCTATGGTTATCTCCCTAAGCGGCAAAGGACTTCAAGAGGTTGTAGGATGGTGAAATGACAATCCAGCTTGGTAAAAACAATACTGTTAGCTGGACTGAGAACGTGACGACGAAAACTATTCGGGAACGAGTTCGGCTGCCTGAACGGTCAGACACAAGATCAGTGGCCGATAGGTTAGGTTTCATTTTTTCCAAATTCTATCCGCGAGAAGCTTCACTTCGAATCGAAATCAAATTTCCGTCTTCATTAGAGAAATGTCATGAACGAACCGAAACCAAAAAAAGGACGTATCCAATGACCCCAAAAGTTCCTGTTTTGCTGTTGATAATTTGAAGTATTCGCCAACAAACAAAGAGCTATAACAAAACTACAAAGAGTAATTTGATTACCTGTTCTAGTATTTCATTTTGTTCCTTATCCATTCCTAAGGCTACCGTTGCATTCTTCTCGTTTTCATTCCCCGATGGTACGGCAGGATGAAGAACTGGAGTTGTTTCAGTGATGATTCCCTGTTGGTGCGGCTAAAATCGTTTTCAGAAAATAAATATTAGCCTAACAAAAATAAATTCAATCAGATTTCTATTACCTCATATACGAGATCAATCATATCATGGTCATGGCCATCATCGCCAAGATCGACTTCTTCCAATACCACGTTCGTTCCCACGACATGAATAACCGGAGGAGAGTTCATAGAGGGATTAGTGCTAAGACCTGAATATTGCTTTACAGACGTAAAAAGCGTTTCGAGAAAATAGGCCAATTCCCAAGAAAAAGAAAAGAATGACGAAAATAGATAGATTGCTGCACGTAAGTCATTCTTGACTTGGAATACGCCAAGTACTCGAATTTCCTACAGGATTGGGAATCATCCAAATGCGTCTACAGAAACCAAAACGGCAGTTGTAGAAGGTGTGATGTCACCGGGGTGCTGTAACAGGGTGTTCTTGTGCCTGAAAGGAATGGCAACCCCGAAGATGATTCAGGCAACAGCGGGTATGAAAAGCTCTTTGATTTCAACAAAGGTTCAATCAACGAAAAGGGCGTGGTGTCTGAAATTACGGTCCCGTTTAATTAGCACCAACACCGCTTGGGAGGATAGAATGTTTACTCGAAGGTCAGTCTGTCGTGAAAGTTAGGGTGAAAAGCAAAAAAAAAATGTCTGCAGACTTTTTTGTTACATGTGAAATAGTTACGCTTTGTCAGCGGTATTCGTTTATGATTGGTTTATGTTTACGTGTGGGTGCTTGTGTGTTTTTGTTTATTTGTTTATGTTCCGTATGACCGTTTACCCTGCAAAGATCGACACCATTGGATACGAGACTGTTCTTTCTGCAGAAGGTTGATGACAGATTGTCAAGTAAATCATCGAATAAGTACAGCCTTAAAATTGGTAATCTTACAATCGAGAATTGACTGTCGGTATTGATTAGAACTATCGATTTTACACAATAGACTCAGGAGTCTTCATGAACACCTTTAAGCTCAAGGAAACGGCCATCCTTAATTGAAATCATTAGGGTGCCTAGTACTTTCCTCCCCTTTCTCATGGTCCTAGCTGGCGCGTGGCCATAATGGTATTCACCATCTCATCACAAGTTATGGGACAGACTCCATTTCCAGTTGAGACCCAAAAGAAGTGGCTGCAGAATACTGTACGAAGATTTTAGAAACTTGGGACACCCCAATACCTCAATCTCGAGTATTGGAAGCTTCAGCGTGGATAACGAGGTCTGGTTTGAGCTTCAACTCTACATCTTCAGATGAAAAAGAAATGAGTGGCAAGAGCAGATTGAGTTAATCAGTAAATGCTACTTTATGCAATATTTCCTATGTAAAACAGGTAGGGAAACCACGGCAGGGTTGTAACTGCAAATGGGAAGAAATCAAGAATCTCGTTCCGGCCCATTGATAACTTTGCGCGTCAATTACCATTGCCCTTTCTGAGGCATTGAATAAATTTGAAAATCGCCAATACTTTTTAATATTTCTATTGTATATCACTTTGTGATTTCATAGGATATAGTAAGCAAAAACACAAGTTAATCTAGTCAGCACTTGAGGGCACTGCAATGGTAGGGCTGCGAAAAGAGCAAAATAGTTCGAACTCGATCTTTGTTTTTACAGTAACTACCCAAATCCACGATACGCACTTTTCTAACGCTATGACCGAAATTCGCCAAAGTGTCGTAGGCCAGATTGGTCGAACACGTCATGCGATTTTGTGATGACTGTTGAACTAGAGCGGTTTCTGACTGAACCCCTCGCAACGTCAACTGGGAACACCACGGCATTTCCGACTCGATTGCAAGAACGTTTCACAAAAACTTGGCCGGAAAAAATTGACCCGCTCTGTCTCTCTCTCTNAGAATCCATTGGACCACGTTAACTCACGAAGGCAAGGGTGAGAAATGTACCGTTACCCACTCGAGAATACCCATTACCAATGAAACAAAAGATGATAGAGGTGATGGGTATTTCAAATGGATATGGCAATTCTTTATGACATTTCCAAAGAAAAACGAATTTATCACAACGACACGAAAATAAAATGTCTCCACAGTTAATATCAGAAGCACTCATTTGTCTGTGGAATCTAGGCCCAGTGCGCTGGCACTGGGTTTGATAAACTGGATCGTGGGACTGAGACTGGATGAGAAATCAGAAAAATCGTCTTCGTTTTTCAGTAAATCGGTGTCGTACGGCTAACCGGGCTCTCTTGATGATAGGTGACTAACGAGTGGGAAAGAAAAGAAATCCTAAGAGAAATCCTTGAAGAACAGAGTTAGCCCTTGAGAGGGATTCATTAGGGAGGCTCTTGAACGGACACCGATACCAACGTGTGCCACGCCTGTATTCGGCAGACAACCACTCGGCACAATCAGTAAACGACAGGTAACCACCAAGACAACACCTTACCTGATGGTTGCGTTCTGGTGATTTACTACGTGATAAATTGTCGATTCAGTGATGTTTTCATTTGCGATCTCGATACTCTCGTCGAGAGCGTCTCATTTGTTTCATTGCAAACACTCAGAATACCCTGTGTTGTGTAAAAGTATCGCTTTCCACGATGTCCACTGTAAACTGGGATTCTCCCACTCCCTTCCCTTGGAGTGGTGCCATCGAATCATCCTCGTGTTCGGACCAATACCATTAAGGTATAGGGGTCACCTGCAGCTATTAGGAAGGTTTCTGCGAAAGAAATTAATAGAGATTTGGATTTTTCCCTGGATTACAGAGGAGTTTGAATTTCAAGTGCCATACTCTTGTTCAGGTATTCAGGTGGGCAGGTAATTGCCACCGACTCTAATCGATTGTTTTGATGATGGTATGGCTCGATTTCATCCTTGACATCTAATTCCGCCGTTCAGCGGGCGTTTAGTCGGTGTAAGCGATGAGAATTGAAGAACTTTTTCTACTTTTCACCTTTCTCTTTGTGGATGAATCAGCGTTTCTCTATTTCTCACATTAGATCGGGAACGAGTTCCTCGGTCACGCTCAGGTAACACATTACCATATCCTCTTCAATTTTACTGCAGCAATATCATCACCCTTCTGATGACCATTCCATTTAGACCTTCTTTTTTGTGTGACTTCGAATTTCACACGGTGACAGCCAGCAGACAAAGATGGCAAAGTGTTGGGGCCTGCATTGGAACACTTGACCCAAGGATGAAGTGCCAGATTGATTCCGTTCTATGCCGGCCACTCCTCAATCCTATTTTGGAGAGCCAAATTATAACAGGATATCATTAGACTCCACAGGCAGAAAGCGAATTTGGGCACGGCTATAAGTGGGAGTTTCGGCGTGCCTGGGTATAATTCATACGATAGAGCTTCGGTACGTTCCTTTGTCAACGGAAGGTAGAGAGTTCGTCTTGATGTCTGCTTAACTGCTGTTTTATCGCCGCAGCACGCGATGTGAAAGTCTCACAAAGTTAGTGAACTATGGGCAAAACTTCGGCCCCGGACTGGATCCGAACCCGTACTTTTAATGATTTTTGTCAGTTCCACTACGAAAATGTGACGCATAGAAATTGAAAATTTGAATCAAAATTTAAGGCGACAATTTTTGCAATCCGACCTGTTTGACGAAACCGCCGCTTTGAGCAGGACAATGGAATACGCCTATGCACGTCACACATGTAGATGTTCAAGAACGAGGTCCACCAGACCGGACTAGATTCTTCACGTTCAGGTCAGCGAAAAGCAGTGGATGTGCTGTTGTGTTTGAGTTCCATCCATACTGGGAGGCGGAAATGATGCAGCAGTTCACGTCGTTATTACTGACATTCAAAGAGAGGTGGAGCTCAAAGGCAGAGTTCACGATAAAAATGGTATCCGAGGTTCCACACAGAATTTTTGAGTTTTAGCCCACCGAGTGTTCCATATCTAGTACTAGTAGGTCAGAAAACGGTCTTGTTAGGGAGTTGTAAAGGCTCAAAGATTGGCCCGTGTGTATCCTCGGACGAGTTTCACCGGCATTATAGAGGCTGCACGAGGCTCGCAAAGGAACCCATGTAGGAAGTTTAAACATTTTGTCATGACCCATAGCGACAGTGAAANGTGTTTGAGTTCCATCCATACTGGGAGGCGGAAATGATGCAGCAGTTCACGTCGTTATTACTGAGATTTAAGGAGAGGTGGAGCTCAAAGGCAAAGTTCACGATAAGGTTTTTTTTCACGGTTTCCGAGATTCCATACAGGATGAATTTTAGCCCCCCGCGTATTCCATATCTGGTACTATTAGGTCAGAAAACGGTCTAGTTAAGGAGTTGTAAAGGCTCAAAAGTTGGCCCGTGTGTATCCTCGGACGAGTTTCACCGGCATTATAGAGGCTGCACGAGGCTCGCAAAGGAACCCATGTAGGAAGTTTAAACATTTGTCATGACCCATAGCGACAGTGAAAGGCAGTTCTGTGCAGTTCTGGCTTCATGTAGTCAGCCTTTTGCGCAACTGTAGCAACTGAAATCTCGTCCGAATACCCTTCCATTATTTCCGTCATGGTAGTCTCGTGCAAACTCTATTCTCCCTACTTTTGATGAGACATATTTCTCTCGAAATCGACGAATTCTCTCGCTAACTTCACTACCGATGCACTATTCCCGATCTATACTTCCGCTTTTCGGATAAAAATGGGTACCTAATAATCATAGTGAACTGTGCCCTTAAAGCGTACTCACCTTGACTGCTATTGCCGATGGAATACGAAAGGTGGCATAACTTGAGGGGCCATTTTTATACCTTTTGGGAATAACAGTCAGGTGATGACTAGGGCGCTGGCTTCGAAAGAAATTCTGACTTAGAACATTGTCTCAAGGTATGCGTAAAGCTTTTTACAGCTCATTCCCTCCCCTCGAAAGTGTGCCATCCAGAAATAAAGTTTCTTTCAACTCGATTCAACAGTTTCTTTCAATAGCTGTACTCTCTGAAGAATTCTGATAAATTCCCTGATCTCATCCTTCACCAGTCATGGATGCAACAGGCTACAGTACTAGACTACCGTGAAATGGGTATGCATGATTTAAACAAAACCATTGAAGGAATCGTGGTCATTTTTCATCTGAATTCTATATTCATCAATTATACAGTACCAGTTTGTAGGGGATGCTATAAATTACATCCCACAGACATGAATATCCCGAAAATCATAGGCCATCAAGATCAAAACAGGGGTGGAGGATCTAAGGGTAGAGGGTAACGGAACTTCTCCCCTATCGCGGCATTCT